TGGAAGAAGTCATGGTAGTGGTAGAGGGCATGGTAAAGGAGGAAGAGAAAAAAAATAATAATAAAGATTAAAGTTCAAAATAAAATTAAGAGGAGATAAAGAAGCCAAAAGTATAATATTTCAAAAATTCAATGCTATTGTTGTAAAAAATATGGTTATTATGCTTTCAAATGCTATTATAACAAAAATAATCAAGTTGAAAAAAATATTAACTATGTTGAAAAGAAGAAAAAAGATTATCTTTTGTTACTAGCACGTAAAGAAGAAGATATTATCATTTAAGACAAGTGATACTTGGATACCATAGCACAATCATATATATAGTTACAAAAATCTATTCATGGGGTTAGATAAAATAGTGAATGGACAAGTCTACTTGAGAGACTCCTCAAAAGTATCAGAGAAAGGCAAAGGTAATATCTTGATCCACCTTAAAAATGGAAGTCATCAATTTTTTTTAAATGTTTATTATGTGCCAAATATGAAGAATAATATTCTTAATCTTGGATAACTACTAGAAAATGATTATGATATTTATATGAAAAACAAACAACTCCTTATTAGAAACAACACAAATCGCTTAATTGCTCAAGCGTAGATGTCAATATATAGATTATTTATCTTAACCATTAGCTATGATATAACACAATGTTTAAAGACTTGTGTGAAGGACTCCTCATGGTTGTGGCACTTGAGGCTTAGGCACTTGAATATCAGAAATCTCAACATGCTATCAACAAAGAAGATGATAAATGATCTTCCTGATATACAATACCCAAGTCAAATATATAAAGAGTGTGTTCTAGCCAAATAACCAAGAAGAATTTTTCACATATAGTAAAATTTAAAGCAAAGAAGTCACTTCGACTTATTCGCACTATTATTTGTGATCATATTACTCCAACATCTTTTGATGAGTATTACTATATTTTAACTTTTATTAATGATTATATAAAAAATTAAGTTTATTTCTTGAAAGAAAAAGGGAAAGTCTTTAGCATATTCAAGAAGTTCAAAACTTTTGTAGAGAATGAAAGTGGCTTCTATGTCAAAACCATCCACTCCTGTCAAGATGGTAAATTCACCTCCAAAGTATTTGAAGATTTTTATAATAAACATGGCATACAATATCAACTTACAGCACTATATTCTCCCCAATAAAGTAGTGTGGTGGAGAGAAAGAATCGAATAATTCTCAACATAGTGAAAAGCATGATCAAAACAAAAAATATACCCAAAGAATTGTGGGCCGAAGCTATGGCTTATGTCATATACATCCTAAATCGGTGCCCTACATCGAGCTGGGAGAATAAAACTCCACAAAAGGGATGGACCAAAAGAAAACTGAGCATCTCACATGTCAAGGTATTTGAGTGTATCGATTATGCACATATACCTGATCAAAGAAGAACCAAATTGGAAGACAATATCTCCAAACTCATCTTCATTGGGTATAACACCAAATCCAAGGCTTACAAATTATTTGATCTTAGCAATTCAAAGGTTGTTATAAGTAGGAGTGTTGAGTTCAATAAAGAAGATATATGAAATTAGAAGAAAAGCATCAAAAGTTTACATGAAGACGAACAAAAGCAAATAAAGTTTGAAATTGCTTCACTATCTTCACCACTATCATCGCCAACATCTTCTTAAGATAGCTTAGTACCTTAAAAGAATAAGAAGTCTAAGAGATTTATTTAAAGTAACAGATAAATTACATCTTTTTGTCTCCTTCTAAATAGTGAACCACTTCAATATAAAGATGCTCTGAAAGATAAAAGGTGGAAGATGCAATGGATGAAGAGATTAACTTCATCGTGAGAAACAAAATTTGGAAGCTAGCATCGTTACCTCAAGGACAAAATCCTATTGGTATGAAGTGAGTTTATTATGAAATCAAGAAAAATCTCCAATGCCAAGTTGATAAATACAAAGCTAGATTGATGACAAAGGGTTACAAATAAAAATCTAATATCTACTATGATGAGGTATTTATTTTTATTATTCGAATGGAAACTATTAGAATGATTATATCCATTATCGCATAAAATAATTAGTTAATTTATCAAATAGATATTAAATCTAAATTTTTGAATGGTTTTCTTGATGAAGAAGAAGTATCCATTAACAACCATTGGTTATATTAAAAAGGAGTATAAAAAGAATTTTTAAGTTAAAAAAAAAAATTTATGGGTTAAAATAAGCACATAGCGCCTGAAATACTAAAATTGATGCCTACTTCAAGAAAAAAGGTTATAAGCAATGTCTTTTATGAAAGTGCCTTTATAAGAAGATTTAAAAAAAATTGAAGATATCTTTCTTGTTTCCCTATATATAGATGATCTTGTCTTACGAATTCAAGTAAACAATGGTTCAAGAATTTGAAATAACCAACATTAGGCTCATATTTTATTTTCTTGGTATCGAAATAAAGCAAAGTAAAAAAACATCTTTATTTCATAAGTAAGATATGCAAAGGAGATTCTCAAAAGATTCAAGATGGAAGATTGTAAATTAGTTGGCACATTGGTTGAATATAACATCAAACTTTTAAGACAAGATAATATGGTGACACAATTGATCCAATCTATTTCAAAAGCTTAATAGGAAGCTTAAGATACATAACTTGCATAACTTGCATAAGATCAGATATTCTATATAGAACCAGAATAATAAGCCAATTTATGAAAGAACTAAAGCTGACACATATAAAGGTCGCTAAAAAAATTTTATGCTACATCAAAAGTACCATAACTTATGGTCTACTATATTCATTTTGTAATGATTTTTAACTTATTTGACTATTTTGATAGTGATTGGGGTGGAGCTCTAGAAAATCAAAAAAATACAATCGAGTTTGTTTTCTATATGAGCGACATTACTTGGTATTCGAAGAAGTAATCCATTATGGTATTATTAACATATAAAGCAGAATATATAATAGTATCATCATGTGTATGTCGTGCTATACGGCTAAGGAAGCTCTTGAATGAAGTCAATTATTCATAAGATCAAGCTACATAGATAAATGTTGATAACAAATCGATGATTGCATTGTTCGATAACTTGGTCTTTCATGAACAAAACAAGCATATTGATGTTTATTACCATTTTATACAAGATCAAATCAAGGAAAAAAATGTTTTATTGGACTACATCAAATTTGATGATCAAGTTGTAGATTTTTTCATCGAGCTCCTCAATTCAGAGATATTTTTCAAGACGAAAGCATCACTTGTGTGATAAAATGAATTAGGTTTAAAAGGGAGAGTTAAGAGAATTAAACTTAAATAAAAGAGAGGATTGAAACCTCTCTCATGATCATGAGTATGGCAAGATTACACTATGATAAAGGTTACCATGAAAGAAGAAGGTTATAAAAATAATAAAGGTTATGAAAATAATAAACTAGTAAATTAGATAGGTTACATAATGTAGCCTTGACAATTGAGTCTTGTTACTCACTCTATAAATAGATGAGCTTTATCATTAAAAAATAAGAAAAAAAAAAGTACAGAGACTTGTCTATAAGAAATAAAAAATTTAGTTTCTCTCTTAGTTTCATCCCTCAATTCTTTCACTCTAACTCTTTCAATCTCATCTTTTGCTTTCCCCATCAGTCATCAGTCCTTTACTATCAAGGTGAACAAGATTCAAATCACGAAAACAAATTTCCATGCACATGCATTGACACAAGATTCTACATTGATGGGAACTCCCTACACAATAGACCATTTTCTCTAGAATCGAATTGTCAAAGGTTTAATATTTTTTTCATTTCTATCAATTCTATCACTGGATATGAACGAGATATCCAGCGACAAAAAGAATGAAATAAGAAAAAAGATTGAATTGAATAAAGTAACTTGTGAGCATTTGTTGATGTAACATGTACTCGTATTAACGAGACGAGTGACTTATTATTTCAATAAATTCTCTATGAATAGATTTTTACTTGAAATCTCAGGTATCATGGTCCGTCGTAGAAGAATCTTTTGAGGAATTGACCTAATATGTTTGATCGAGGCATACTATCGTAAATCAGACATAAATTTATAATTACTACTTAGTATCAATAATGAGTTTGAAAATAATTTAAAGAGCGAAATTTAGATATTCATACATCGTCGAAGAAAATCTTTTTTTTCCCCTTATTTCTACCTACTAGCAGCACTAAAATGACTATCTATATTTTTTAGTCGGTTTTCTTTTTTCAAAGCAAATTATTACATCAAATGATGTACATGACGCTCACACGTAAATTCAAACCTAAGACATCTAACTTACAACAATATATTAATCGGATATCTCAACAAAAATAATAACACAAATATTGACAATCAAAATACATTATTTTATGTTTGGCCGTTTCCAAGATCACATCCTTGCTGTTGATGTAGCTGTATCTGTATCTGTAGCTGTGAATGATACGCTTCTCCTGCTGTATTCTTTTTCAGCATGAGGCAAGTTCTCCTTCATTTCAACAACGAATTAAAGGAAGAATTGGCACCGCCCAATAGCATGGCCGTGGCACCACGTCAGAAAGCTTCTGGATAATGTAGTATACTTTCCATGCCAAATGTTTATTAATACATTGAACTTGACCAATGCATTGACTTCCACAGGCATTATCTGGACAAGATGGATTCTTGCATGACTTCATCCTCCTCCCCTCATCACCCACACGACGCATAATCCAAGTAACAACTTGTTTGAATAACATAACATTGGATGTGGACAAACGAAGATTCACAGTGATGTCCCACTGGTTCACATCCGCAGGAAATTAAAGGGCCATTGACCCGCTAATTATTATTATTATTATCATCATCATATTTCAGCTACTGAGATATTGTTGTCACAAACTCTTGACATGGATAGAATTTTGTGCTCTTCCACATGATATTTTAGTAAGTCATACCCATTACTGTCGATCATGATATGACCACTTACCCAACTAAATCTTATAGTTGGTGGTGGTGGCAGTGCCTTGCACACCAAAGCTTTGCATTGGGTGGTATCTATCTAATGGTAGATTGAGATAACTCTGAAATGGCTTGCCTCTCATGGTGTTGGCTCATTGTAGATCATGTGCTCCTCGGTGAAGGATTCGATAGGCGGCGCCGATTGAGCTTCTTTGTCCACCCAGTCTTTGTTGTGCTTTTCCAGCTCTACGTGTTTGCGCAGCTGCTGATCACAAGCTTGTCGAATCCAATCTTTTGCGCCTTCCGTATCGCCCGCAGTGTCATCGTGACAGTGTTCCTATTCGTGAGATGTTTCCTGTTCTACGTTTCCGAGGTGGATGAGATCTCATCTTTCACGACCAATGCTTCTCAGACTCCTGCAAATCCTGACACGTTTCAGTGCATTGTGACACACGATGACTGCGGTGGTCATCTACAAGTCTGCAGCCTGGGATTGTACTCGGAAGGAGGTGAGGATGAAGACGAAGAGCATGAGGAATCGAGTCTTCATGTGGAACACTCGAGTATACTTGGGGAACTCAACTTCGCATCAGCAAGTCACCATCTATTTCCAGGTTTACAAGAGAGAGCGTATGAACTTGCCGATGAAGAGGATGAGGAATCAACCGCAAGTAGCGTGGCATACGATTTATATGATCCAAGACTCTCGTTAGATATCTACGAGTATGGGGATGCAGATCGAATGGATGATCATGGAGGGTTGATGGTGCAAACAGAGGATGATCCAGATATCGACGACTATTCTCAACATGTCTCGGTATTCAGAACAGAAAGCAAATGGGTTGAAATCGATTTGTTCTACGAAACCTACAGAGGAAGGATGAGGTGGTTTGATCAACTCAATGACGAAAGAAGAATTGCAGTAAGTATGTATTCTTTGACTCATAAGTAGTAGAAGATGATTAATTGTCTTCACCAGCATAAATGATGATCTTCCCATACATCTCCAGGATTTTTATGGGAGATGAAATCAGTGTTCTGTGTTGGTTCTTATATGGCAACAAACATATACTTGTGCAGGTGTTGTTTTGGGCAAGAAACTGGGGGCTACAAGTTTCCATGACAGAATCGATCCTCTTAACTTTTCCTTCCCTGTAGTTGCTCATAAAAAGCTTGCCAAAAGCATAGAAAGCGATTTCGAGTTGGTGTATGTGGGTCAATCGTGCCTGAGTTGGGAAGCCCTCTGTCATCAGCATAGAAAAGTGAAGCTGATTTCTGATGCGCACAGGGGATGTTTCCATGGCGAAGTAGCAGAGAGGTTTCAGCAGTTTCAGATACTGCTGGAGAGGTTCATCGAGACCGAGAACTGTGAAAGCAAAAGGTTTTGGAATTATGCTCAAACTAAATTTTGTAATGCACAGCTTCTCCAAATTCCGGATGTTTCAGGTAGTATTCAGCTAGGAATGTACTCAGTTCATTCATTCATTCATTCATTCGTTTCTTTGACCCCATCTGCCATAGATAGATTTTCTATTGCTTTCTGCTTCATCAGCAGTAAGTAAAATTTGATGTCATGATCATATAGAAATGGTCATGTTTTATTTATGTCAAGAGGGACTTAAGAGAAGTCTTTGTGTGATTCTGAAAGGTTATGTAGAGGATGTGGGAGAAGGTACGAAAGGAGAAACAATGGAGGGAAGCCAAGTCTCGGAGGCCATTGAGAAAGCCATGAGTTCCTTTTGGCTTTTCCTCAGAAGTGACAATAAAAGGTGTCGGGGAATCTTGAAGAAGCTCAAGTTGAGTGATTGCCAAGTGGAAGACCCAAAGGACTTGCAACTCTTTACCTCCCTATCCAAGGAAGCTCACAAGGTCAGAAGAACTCTGTTAATACTTCTATCTTTATCAGCATCATTTCCACACACACACACACATAAATCATCTGCCCATCTATGGAAAAGACTACTCAGTCATCATCTCACATTCTCAATATGTCTTAACCTTGTAGAAGACACTTTAATAAGTTTTTCTATCAGGCTAAGATTCAATGATAAGCTTCAAGTTAGCTATGAGGACAATTATGTTGCCTCATACATATAACAACACCTTGAACACTATCTAATAAAAGCTTGTGGTATATCAAATATTCGAGTATTCCTGTTTGTACTATTTGTAACAATTGAGGATTCCTATTCAAAGTAATTATAAGTTTGAGACATACATCATGCTCTCGTCAATACATGAGTTAAGAGGGATCAATATATATAATCTTAATTAAAAAGATATCTTATGGATATGATTGGATACGATGTTACTCGTTATCAAACAGTCATTCAAAACAATGACAATTTATTTTTGCTATTTTCTTCAGAAGAACGAAAAGATGAAGGCGTTGGTGAAGAAAAGCCGCAGCACGAAGACTACACCACCTCGTGAAGAAATCCAAGTCGAGAATTTGATTTGCTTGGTCGATATCAATCTGGTGATAAGGGTGCTAAAGATGTCAGTGGTCACATCTGCACAACTCAGGTGGTGTCACGAGAAGCTCAGTAGCATAGAGTTCAAGCAAGGAATTGTTCGGACTCCTAATGCCAGTGGTTTATTATTCCCACACTCATAACACATTGTAAATTAGTGGGAGCCATAAATGATGCGTGTAAATTTTGGACTTTATAGTAAGATAGATTGTAGATATGAGCAATTAAGTGGCCGATATTATGTGGTGCGATAATTCTCCAAAAGCTCAAGAAATATGTTAACAAAAATTTACATATTCGGTAAATTTCCTTTTTTTTTTTGGAACTTTTCTTGAGAGGAGGGCATCTCTTATTTGCTATAATCTTTGAAATTTCCCCTCATAATATAATACTTGATTATATTTTATGAACCGATTTATATGCTGAATCGATTCAATCCACTATATTCATAGTAATAGAGAAAGTAACGATGTAAGTATTACATTGTTGATTTATCCAACCGGGGACTATCACCTGGGCTATGGCATGGGCGGAAGAACCCATGCCCCTCCCCTGTAGTCATCGACAAGAGCATGATCCTTTGGCTCCTGCTCACCTCGATCTACGAGAGGACTACATGAGCCAATCGTAGAACGTATTAATCCTCGGTAGCGAGACCTATCCTCCTCTTTTCGAGTCACCTATCGCAAGTGACCTGACACCCTAATTTCGAGAAGGTTCGCATGCCTGGTTGCATAGGGCATTAATCCCAAGCAAAGTGGTCAAGTTTTCTTTTTCCCTCTTTTAGGATACCTGGCATAGGAAATCATCCCTTGCTTATCCCAGATAGGCACTAGCCCTAATAAACAGCACTCCCACGACCAACCTTCACTGACGCCACCCGCAGAGATGTGTGCCCACCAATCGTCAACCTCGTTTCATCGACCACTTAAGTATAAAAGTCAGTCCCCAAACCCTAAAGGGAGGGATCATCTCTACCATTTTTCACCTCCCAACTAACTTTATCATTGAATGGGTTAAGTCGACAACATCCCCCGATGTTGACCATTTATGCAAATATCTTGACAAAACTAAGAGATACCTTGGGATGACGTAAAATCCACCTTTGACAAACAAGCAGCACCTCGGGATCGTACCAACCGGATTTTCCTCCCTCTCTAACCTCCTCTCATGACCCCTCATGGGCCCGCTAGATAGCTTATGCCTTCGGGATTAAACCAAGTTATATCGACTCTACGGTCAATAGCATCAAACCATTAACACATACATTTTAACACCTCTATCAAAATACTATAAGTTTACTAAATAATTATAACTGAGATAAATGAACACAAAACCCAATACAAATCAACTCACATACAAAATTAAATTTTAAATAGATATTCTTATCAGTTTAAGAATAAGAACAACCAAATATGAATATTTATTATGTTTTTAACATATCTATTAATATATTGTAGTGTGTTTTGAATAAACTTGTAGTATATTTAAGACATCTATTAAAAATACTATGGACCTCTATAAAAATATTAGAACTAAAAAATTGGATTGGTTAACCATATTGGTTAATCCATACGGTATATACCAATATTACACCAATTGTCTTGTTAGGAGTATTTAAAAATATTATTATAAATAGAAGACACGTTTCAAAAATAAAAAAAAAAATGCCTCCTAAGAAAGAGAAAAAAAAGAGAAGATTTTACCGTGTTTGCTCTTGCATATTTAACATAAAAAATAAATAAATAGTAACCCATCAAATAACATCTCTACTAAGATACCACATTGTTTTTTAAAATATAAACTTTTAATGTTTTAACACATCTACCAAAATATTATAGATCTATAGGATAATATCATATTGACTAATTCATATAATATTATATATTAAGTAGATAAATATTATATCAAATTAAAAATTTATATAATAATAGATTAATAAAGATATTTAATCTCATATTAATTAAAAAATAAGATAATTAAGAACTCATAAGTCCATCAGGTCATGCTTAACTCATCATCCAAAATGAATAATTTCTTACAAATCTACGGGATCGCATTAATAACATATCACTTATCAAATTGACGTTAAAAGAATGGTCTTTAAGTCCATTAGATCACTCACTTACTAAATATTGACCATAGAAATAAGTTCTTTAAAGGGTTATCTTTACTAATCTTCTTCGTGATGATTCCTTGGCGGCATATGTGGCTACCGACTCGGTGGTGTTAAGCAACCTTGAGGACCTTTTTTAGGTGGGCATCACCTTATGATGGACTCACCTACCGCAAACCCGCCTCGGGACCCACAACATCAGCCAAGATTCTGCTTTGCTTCTACTGGAATATATGAAAGCCACCGAGCACTTGCAAGTAGAGCAATTAATTAGTAGGAGCAAAAGGACTCCTCTATGCTTCCTCCTCTTTCACGCCTCTTTGCTTCCTCCTCTTTCATTCCTCCTCGCGTACACGTTTTTGTGATGATTCACAAACAACGTCCAATGATAAGGCCGACAAGTGAGAATGGACGTGTCTCAGCATCTGTGGCCAATTCGTGGGAGTGTTTACTTATGATCCATGCATAATTAATTCTACTTAGAACAGTTTTTGTTGTGTTTTTGACAAAAAAATAAAGAAGATAAATAAGACGATTACATCCGATTCAGTTCGCATCACAACCAATCAAAAACTCGAGTTCGAAAAGCATCTCTCTTTCCCGAAAGAAAAATTAGTAAGTCAATTAATTGACTTGTTACCCTCATTTTACTGTATATATATTCCAAAAGTTTCGTCTAAAAAGAAAATAAAATTTAATTCTAGAAGCTTCATCTGAAAAAGAAAAATTGGAAGAGTGATTGAAAGACTAATTACGTATTACCTCACTTAGACTCTATTAGTATTACGATCCTTGTGTTTAAAATATTTACATTCGGATCTCTATAATTCTGAAAGTGAAATAAATAATCTTATTTCTCTTGATGTACCGATGAAAAACATAACATGTGACACCACATGCTATATCGATAAAAAAAGTGATGAACAAAAAAAAAAATTAGCATCCCTTTCATTTTGAAATGTTAAAATTATCTTTTTACCTATAAAGTCGTTGAAACCAAATGTATATTAAAATTATCTTTTTGCCTATCACTTTTACATCGATCCGACACATGATATCATATGTTATATTTTTTATCAATGCACTTGATAATGCTAGGATAAATGAGGTTATTTGTTTCATTTTCAAAACGGTAAAGATCATAATATATTTTTTTTAATATAAGAATTACGATACTAATAAAATCTAAGCATGAGAGCTAGAGATTAAACATTTGCATTTCACTTTAGTGGTGGATTATCCTCTTTTATGTCAAAAAAAAAAATTTGCTATCCACATAATAAATAATTCCTGAAATTGTATCAAGAAAAGCATCCATAGTCAGTCACCGTTCGGAGGTGTTGTGGGCTACATAATATGCTAACTTGCTTTTCCAAACAGCTGTAGCTTAAAAGGACAGATTCCTATAAGGATGCCTTCTTTCCCACTTTGTTTTTGATGTTAGGTTGGGACTGCTTAATATTGTGGTTTCATCTTATATATATATATATATAATAATAATAATAATAATAATAATAATAATAACAATCCTCTTTCTTGCTTTATGTTATAGTTGTCTATCACATACGACAAAGGGGAGGCAAAGAAATATGCTGTGCGAGAAAAGTGGCTCACTCATTGCTCTCTCCATGGGTGGGCCTCTCTCTCATGGAGAGAATCCAGCAAAGTGGAAATAGATGTGGAATAACATCAAGAAAAAACGTCCCTTCTCTTTATTTTCTATCCTTTTGAGACACAAAATCGAGCTGTTTTACCACTTTTTTTTTCCTATCCTCTCTCTCTCTCTCTTACCTTCTTCTTTTTCTGTTCACTGCGTTACGATTCCTTTGCCTTTACAGTCAAAGAAGGTTTCAAAAGGAGAAAGAAGAAACGATAGATGTCATGGCAATGGAGATCAAAAGCAAAGATGAGCCACAGCTCACGCACATATTCTTCGCACCTGACCCCAATGTGCATCCACATTCGAAGACAAAGTGAAAGCCCACCCAAATCGAGATGGCATCTTTGACGATGATAATTAGATGCCCAAGACGGGCACCAACCCGGTGATTTCCCAGATGCAGTTCCAGTTCCCCTCCGATTCAATCATCATCCCTCTTGCCATCGTCCCCCATGGATTCCAAGCCGCGACTGAAATGGACTTCTCAGCTTCATCAACTCTTCGTCGACGCCGTCTCTCAGCTCGGCGGAGTCGATAGTAAGCTCTTATCCTCTTGCCCACTTGATCGTCATGCCATCTCATGCGACTCTCTTCTTTCTGCGATCGCAGAAGCTACACCCAAGTACGTGATGCGTGTAATGGGAGTTCCTGGACTTACTCTGCACCACCTGAAGAGCCATCTGCAGGTCTTGACGTGATTCTATGCATCCTTATCTCGATTTATGTTATGAAACAAAGCAGCTTCACCGTATCTCTTGTTGCAGAAATATAGACTAGCGAAGAATCGAGAATCGAGCATTCCCCGCGGAAACAGGCGACGAGGTTGGGTATCTTGCTACTGTACATGGGTCTTTTGATTTCTTAGACATGGGCATGGATTACGGTGAAGGTTTGTAGCAGATGCCAAGGTCACGCACCGGTGGACTTCGGAGGACGCAACCACCCAGGACGAGGCGAACGAAGCACCACCGCAGTGCGAGTACGCGGGGATCACCAACTGTCCTTATCTTGATTCATCAGCTTGCAGCGTTGACTCTGCTCACCAAAATGTTCTCTGTGTTGGCTACAGAACCACGTTAAAGATGCAGATGGCGGTCCAGAGAAAGCTGCAGGAACAGATCGAGGCAAGTGCTCTGGGCGATACCCGTAGCCATGGGTTCCAGCTAAATTGGGTCTAATCGATGCATCTCCTCCTCTCTCTCTCCTTTAGGTGCAGAGACACTTGCAGCTCCGGATCGAAGCCCAGGGGAAGTACTTACAGTCGGTGTTGAAGAAAGCCCAGGAAGCACTTGCCGGATACAGCTCGAGTTCCATCGGAATCGAAGCTGTCAGGACCGAGCTCTCGGAGTTAGTCTCGGCTATGGACACCGAAAGCCTGAGCTCCTCCATCTCCCCTGGTGATAGCTCCGCGGAGAGTTGCTTAACTTGTGGTGATGTGATGGAGA